CGGAACCCCGAGCCTCGAGCCTGGCTAGGCCACAGCTCCCCGCCCCCTGGGCTCTCCCAGCTGCCCTCAGCTACAGAGTGGGAACCAAGGTGCTGGCTGAACAGGTGCCTGGGGACAGAGTGCTGAGCAATCCCTCAGAACCCACCTCGGGAAACTCACGTTCCAGACCAGCTCCCTGCTCCTGCCGTACCTGGTGGTTCACATTCCACTGGGGTTTTTGCTATTCCAGCCACATTTTACTTGTTTTGATTTTCAAGAGTTATTTAAGTGTATTTCTTCATTATTATTATTTTTAATTTGATCAGAGGAAGTAAGAATGTACTCCACCAGAACCGGGATTTGAACCGTGGTCAGCCATGCGGGAGTCTGGTGCCCTAACCACCACGCTACCTGCCAGCTGTATTTGGACAACTTTATTGAGAGACCATTTCACGTAGCGTACAGTTCACCCACTTTCAGTGTACAGCTCAGTGGGTTTAATATAGTCACAGACATGGCCGCGCCACTGCCACAGTCCACTTGAGAACACTTTGATGACCCTAAAAAGAAACCCCACAGCCTCAGCCATCACCCCCACCTTCAGCCTCGGCCCCACCCAGCCCTGGGCAGCTGCTAGTCTCTGGCTGGCTGTCTCACCTTTCCTGCTGTGGGCATTCTGTGTACGTGGGACCACGCAGCCAGTGGCCTCCGTGTCTGGCTTCTCTGAGCATCCAGCTGTCAAGGTCACCGGCGGGGTGGCATGTACCAGCTCCTGGTCCCTTGTCCTCGCTGGGTAGTATTCCACCGTGTGGCTATTCAGTATGCGTTTTCTTTACTATGGCTAGTTCATTAAATCCAGGGATCAGCAGTTGGTGTAATGGCTATGCCACTGGACTCCCATGTAGTTGACCACGGTTTGAATCCCGGACCCAGTAGCTTAACCTCACGCCAGGTGTGTGTGTGTGTGTGTGTGTGTGTGTGCGTGCCCAAGATCCCAAGAAGAGAGTGGAGGAGAAAGGATTGTGGCATGGTCATTCCCCCTGGGGGGGTGATTTCTCTCTTTCTATCGCTCTGTCTCTCTCTGTCTTTCTGGCGAGCGCATGTGCCCAATAGCAAAAACCTCTCCAAAACAAACAAACAAACACAATCCAATGTGAAATTCAGTTCCTCGGTTCACACCAGCCACGCTGCATGTGCTGGGTAGCCACACAGGACTGGTGACTCCCATATCGGCCATCATAGACCTTGACATCACTGGCACCCAGAAAGCTCTGTGACAGCGCTGTCGTAGGTCACAAGCTCCCATCAGAGGCCAAAGCCAGCCTCATGGTCGGCTCACACGGCAGCACTGGAGGGAGACTGTGTTCACAGGACTCTCAGGCGGGGTCTGAACGGCAGGCCCTGCCTAGTGGGACCTCCGTGCCAGCGTGGGCACTGGCGCTACAGACAGAAGGCGAGACACGCTGTGACGAGTGGGGAGAGGGGACAGGAAGTGACGGGAGCAGGAAGACTGCAGTTACAGTGGGATAGTCCCGGGGCCTTGCTGAGAGGGGACGGCTGGTTGAGCAAAGCTCTGAAGCCGGGGAAGGCCAGGCTGACCTCCGGCCCCTGGTCACGCATGGGGCAGAACCAGCAGGCCCAGGGCCCCAGCCCTCACCTGTCCCCCTTCATTGCAGATTTACAACATGCTGGTGGAGACGGGTGAGCTGGACAACACCTACATCGTCTACACTGCCGACCACGGCTACCACATCGGCCAGTTCGGCCTGGTGAAAGGGAAGTCCATGCCGTACGAGTTCGACATCAGGGTGCCCTTCTACGTGAGGGGCCCCAACGTGGAGGCGGGCTCTCTGTAAGTGCACGCCCTGCAGGGCCCGGGGTTCTAGGGAGCCTCCCAGCTCCTTCGACCTTAAACCGCATGATGCAGCCACAGCCACACCCCAGGTCACACAGTTTGGTCAGGTGAACCTCGGTGCCAACTGGCATGGCAATGACCTCACCCAGGGTGGCTTCTGACGCAGTCTCTACCCCTGCCGGGGCAGGCGAGGCAGGAGTCCTTAGCACCTGTGAAAACATTGGGTCGGGGCTGTGTGCCAGGACTGCAGGGGCGGCCGCCAGCCCGTGATGCCTGCCCCAGGCTGGGCAGTCGCTGGGCGCGGTGGTTGTCGGGAGGAGCCCAGACTCAGTCGGGCAGCGTTATCAGCCGAGATCAGCTGAGCCAGCTCCTGGCAGCCGCACGGAGGGAAACAGGCTCCCCGCCTCCTTCCTCGAGGCCCCGGGCCCAGCTCTCACCAGCCTTTATCCTTGGGGTGCCCTTTGAGATGCCGCGCTGGGCAAGAGGGAGCGTAGAAAGGTCGGAGGCCATAGCAGCAGCCCCTGGCCCTGCTGGGTGTTAGGAGACCCCCTCGGATGGGGCTTTGGAAGGCACATGGGTGAGTTTGAGGCTCCCATGGGTCTAACATCACCAGCACCCAGAAAGAAACGCATTTACACCGGGGCTGCATGGTGTTGCTCCTGCACCGGGGGGGTACTGGTGGCGTGTTTAGGAGTTCTAGGCTGCCAGTCCCACCACCTCAATGTTTCCGTGATGTCTGCCCGGAACCAGTCACTGTAACCTGGGGTGATAGGAACCTCGAGGGATAGGCTGAGGACGTCCAGTGGGAGATCTGAACAGTGCAGGCTCCTTGGGAAGCTGGGGCCACAGAGCAAGGTGTGCCTGGCCCCGCCACAACTGTCCACCCCAGTACTGGGGACATGGACCAGTGGGCCTCTGTGTCCTCTGGTGACTGCAGCTCCAGCTTAGCGTCCCCTCCCTCAGCCAACTCCAACTCCCTCACCTGCCAGGTTGAAGTGGCCTTCAGCCCCTCCACGGTGCAGCCCGACCTCACCCTCCCAAATCCCCCAGCACACCTGCCACCTGCAGTATTCACAGGGACCAGGGAGGAAGATGACGGAGCCCCTGGCACCCTGGCCTGCTTCTCGTCCTCAGGCAGCGGGGAGCAGGGCAGGCACTAAGTTTCCTTGATGGAGAATGTGTCCATGCTCGCTCAGCAGGTGTAGGCCCTCTGCTGAGCACAGCCCGGAAGTTGCCACCACATTGGGAACACACCAGGTAGAGGCAGGAGATGGAAGAAGGGACCAACATGTGGCATGTCCCCTCGCTGGTATTTAGTGAGCCCTAGGTGTGTGTGTGCAGGGGTACAGAGGTGCCAAATCATCTGCCCTCCTGCCACTCAGGCTCACCAGGCAGCAGATAACAAACCAGGTAAATTATACACTTTGTAGTGGATGGAAGGTTGATAAAGCAGGGAAGAGAGTGGGAGCACCGAGGGGTGCAGTTCTTCTTCTTCTTTTTTTTTTTTTTTAGAGAGAATTTTACTATAGGGTACGTGCACTCGCCAAAGAAACAGAAAGCAAGAAATCACCTCCTGGGAGGATGGCCATGCCACAAACCCTTCACCTTCATTCTCCTGTTGAGATTTTGGGCACGCACGCACACATGCCTGGCATGAGTTTTAATTAAGCCCCAGGGTCTGAGACTAGAACCACAGTCGACTACATGGGAGGCCAGCGACATAACCATTATGCCGCTGCTGGTCCTGAAGGGCGCAGTTCTAAGTGGGGTACTCAGGCAGGGCCCAGCGTCACAGGGTCCTCTGCTTAGGCTAAGACCAGGGTGTCGGCCAGGGCAGCAGGCTCATCTGGAGGTTTGTCTGGGGAAGAATTAACTTCCCCACTCGTGGGATTGGTCAGGTGCTAGCAAGAGGCTATGACCCCAGGCCTGCCTCCCCGATAGTTCACCAGGAGGCCTCGCCAGGGGCAGGTTTATGGCTGCTTCAGAGCCAGAAAGGGACAGGACAAGAAGGTTGCATGGTCACAGGACAGCCTTCACTGGGCCCACGGGTTAGCACAAGCCTGGTTCGGCCCACACTCTGGGAGAGGAGCACACTGAGGTGAGGTACTGGGGCGGCAGTGTTGGCAGGGAGCCTGGCTACGTGGAGCCCTCTCAGGCCTCTTGGTAATAGCCAGGCAGAGAGCTAAGGGGGTACAGTGCCAAGCTGCTCTCTGGCAGGATGTTCCAGAGGGGCAGCAAGGATAGAGGAGCGGCCAGGGCTAGTATTGGCCTGGGAGGCCCCTTGCGGCAGGTGGGCTTCCTTTGGGTAATGGGGAAGACAAAGCCCACTCTGTGTCCTGTGTTTGGAGGGCATGGGAGGCATCGGGGTGAGCCTCAGGTAGGCTGCAGGGAGAGCTCTCCAGGGGTGAGCTGGAGAGTGACCGTCACAACCTGCTTCTCTCCCTGTCCCCAGGAATCCCCACATCGTCCTCAACATCGACCTGGCGCCCACCATCCTGGACATCGCAGGGCTGGACATCCCCTCCGACATGGACGGGAAGTCCATCCTCAAGCTGCTGGACACTGAGCGACCGGCGAATCGGTGCGTAGGGAGGGACCCCGGGGAGGGGAGGAGCTGGCTCCCCAGCCCGCCTGAGCTCAGAGCCAAACCGTGTGGGTCTAAGGTCAGGGGTCTCCAACAGCCCTAGGGTCCCCCGTCCCAAACCCTTCTCGACCCCGTGGGAGAGAAGGAAAGCCCCCTCTCCAGATTCCGTCTTCTGTCCGGAGTGCAGGACCCGCTCAGAGCCGGGTTTCCGTAAACTGGCAGTAGCCGAGTAGTAGCCGCAGCCACCGTGATCGCGGGAGTTGCGCCGATCGCGCGATCCCTGCGTGCTGGCTGCGGTTCTTGGTCAACGTGCTTTGAGGGATGGTGTCGCCTTGGTCCTCACAGGATCCCAGTGACACAGGCTTTCTTACCTTCCCAGTTTTACCCATTTGGAATTTGCACCCCAAAGAGGTTGAGTGACTCGTGGAGATCTCACAGCACGTCCAATGCCACCCCAGGAGTTCAGACTGTCGCTCGCCACGCCCCGTGGCTTTAATGCTGGATGGTGTGGCAGGAATATATTCCCAGGGGTCCCAGGAGATAGAAAAGGGGCTGGTCATGGTGCTCAAATATCCACTGGGGTACTGCGGGCTGCGCCTGGGCGGGGACAGGAAACTAAGGGGCGACCAGTGGTGTGGCCGCATCGCCATCTGGTGACCAGCGCTGTAACTGCACACTGGGCTCCCAGCTTCAAGACGCTGACCTTGCGGGCGAGCCTTTTTGGGTGAGGCCGGCCCTAGGCCACCTCCACTGCTTCCTCCCTCTGTGAGGCTGAGTGGGCTGTAAGGATTTAAGGCAGACTTGTAGCGTGGGGCAGCAGACACTAGCCTGGAGCCAGGACACGGAGGAGTTGGGGTGCAGGGTGGAAGCCTCCTTCTCCTGCTTCCCCATCTGGAAAGTGCACGATAGCGTGGCACTGCAGGAAATGCATGTTCTAGTTACACACACCCAACTCTAAAGCATCAAGAGAAAAGCCTCCTCGGGACAAGTCAGGACAACCGCTGCCTCTCGTGCTTAGTGGAGCTAGATTCCCACATGACCAACTGGGCGGTTCGAATCCCAGCCCTGGTGGCTTGGAAAACATGCTGGGCATGTGTGCATGCCCAGAACCACAGCGGTGTGGAGAAGGGACTGCAGTGTGGCCATGCCCCATCGTCTGTTTTCTCCCTCTCCCTCTGTCTCTGTCGTCGTCTGGCAAGCACACCTGGCCAATTTTTATAAAAAGCGTTCACCATCTCTTCAGGGCTGGGGGTACTGCTGGACTGCCCTGGAGGCACTGAGACGTGTGTGTACACGCACCGCTGTGTGTGATTTCAAGCCACTTTGACCCGGGCCATTCCCACCCTCAACTTTCAGACTCAGCCCTCTCTGTACTTGGAGAAGATGTGATTCTGCTCAGAGGAAGGCACGGGCGCCTTTCTGATCCCAGCTGGGCCTGCACACCACGACTGCCCGGGGGCCTGGGCACCGTCCTCCCAGGAAAGCAGGTGCATGAGTGAGGCCCCCGTTCAGACGAGAAGCTGAAAGTGTGCTTTCTCTCCCCCAGGTTTCACTTAAAAAAGAAGATGAGGGTCTGGAGGGACTCCTTCCTGGTGGAGAGAGGGTGAGTGCCAGGCCTGGGTGGGGGCCACCTTCATGGGGACCTCACCCCCTGTGAGCCCAGTGGCTCCTGCAGCCCTACCTACATCTGGGGTATCGAAGGTCTCATTGTCCAGGGCACGAGGGGAACAGTGCAGTCGTTGTACCTTCCAACGGTGACTCGGAATGGTCCCAAGCCCCCTAGACACAAAGAGGCCCGTTCACTGTTCCTGTGGTTAGGGCAGAATTTGCATCTGGAGGCCATGTGTGTCGTGTAGACCTGCTTCGTCCAGACTGGACTGCAACTTCAGCGTTTTTATTATAATTTATTGCCGTCTCATGTTGGGGAGGTTTATTTAAATTCCACTTTCTTAAGTCTCCTAAGAATCAGGGATTGGGTTCAGCTGGACTGGGCTTCTCATTAGAGGTTAAACTAGGGCCACCATTGGCTGGTCGTGGGCACCTCCAGGGCCCCTCAAAGGTCAGACAGTCCTGCAGCGCTCACTGTCCACCCACAGCAAACTGCTCCACAAGAGGGACAGCGACAAGGTGGATGCCCAGCAGGAGAACTTCCTGCCCAAGTACCAGCGTGTGAAGGACCTGTGTCAGCGTGCCGAGTACCAGACGGCCTGTGAGCAGCTGGGACAGGTGAGGTGGCACGGCCGCGGCCCCTGCCCTCCGGTGGCTGTCCCCTCAAACTGCAGCCCAGGCTAGCCCAGGCCTGGACCAGCCGACCAGCAAGGCCAGTGCCTCCCAAGGTGTGTCCCTTGCTATTGGGTGGACACAGTGACATTTGTAGGAGGTGATTCCTGCCCAGACCCGAGGCAAAGCATCACAGGGTGCGAGGAGCCCAGCTCCGGCCCAGCCCTGGTGCACAGGGGCCCCGCAGGTAGCCGCAGGAGTGAGAAGACTCCGTTTCCCTTGTGCTCCCTTCTGCTGTGTCCACTCCGGCTCGTTTCCATGCAGAGGAGTAACAAGAAACGGCCTTTTCTCATTGCGGCAGAAGTGGCAGTGTGTGGAGGACACCTCGGGGAAGCTGAAGCTGCACAAGTGCAAGGGCCCCGTGCGGCTGGGCGGCGGTGGGGCCCTCTCCAACCTCGTGCCCAAGTCCTACGGGCAGGGCAGCGAGGCCTGCACCTGCGACGGCACCGACTACAAGCTCAGCCTGGCCGGACGCCGCAAGAAGCTCCT